GGAGTTATTAACTGAGTCAAACTGAACCAACTTACGTGATTATGGTGTGGCAAAAAAATTGGTGGTGCGACGATAATTTTGATCGAAACGACCTGAATCGAACTGTTGCCAACCATAGAAAGAACGCATTTTGAACAGTAGATTGATGAAGAATGTGTGATTAAAAATTAATGAAAGTTTTGGATTGACATGTAATATTTTTTATTGAATAATGTGTGGTTGAAAATGAGTTTTGAAAAAATGAATTTTTAGAAAATGAGGCTCAAACAAGGGTTAAATCATGTTATTAAAAAATAATTAAGTACATTTTGAATCTTGATATTATGATACAACAAGGTCGACCTAGTGTCGTAAACAATCATGTTTGTCCCATTTTAAAACTTTTTGAATAACTTTATTTTAATTCATTCCTCGATTATTATTGGTTACAGGATTAAAATTTAATAATAATAATAATAATAATATATGTAAAATGTAAAATGACACTAATACCGTTGATATTATTTGGTGCTAAATGAAAAACAATAATTCTTGACGTACAAAATTATTCCAACAGAAGAAAAACAGGATACTTATATGGAGTGGGGCCCAAATGAGTTTTATATTGGACAAAAACACACCACCCACCCCGTGTATGCGTGTGTGTTTTGAATTTTTGTATAGATTCTGTTCAATAATCCCTATACCTATAGCAACACTCAATGAAAAAAGGGCAAAAATGATTTTTATCAAATTTAGTACAACACTATTTGTTTGCACCAAAAATTGTACAAAATTTGGTGTCGGGTCGTAGTGAAATTACATTAAATATTTGGTGAAAAATGGTGTTGTGGTAGGAGATGGCCTTAGAAAGGAATGTGGCTACTGAAAGAAGGAAAACAATAAAATATGTGGGTTCACAATAAACATTTTGAACACTAGTTATAAATTATAATGGTTATATATTGAAGCTTGGGAAATTATTAAAAAGGAATGTGAAGCTTACTGTGATAAATGCGGAGGAAATTCAATAAATAGGACCAAAAAAAGGGGTAAGATGTAGGCTTAGTTGCTCAATTTCGATTATTTGAGAAACGACTGAATGATGGAGAAAAACTTACGTCGCTCAATTTTGATTCTTCGAAATTTGAATTATAAAAATTGAGTTTGGACTAAAAATAGGGAAATGATATTTTTAGGCTCAATTAATTAGTTGGTAAATTTATTGAGAAAAAATTAAAATAATTTGACTTATTTAATATATAAAAAAAATTAAGAAGATTCAAATTTTATTCGGTTCTTGAGTTCTTAATTTGGAATCGAGAATCAAATCAAATCTGTTAGTTCTAGATTTTAATACCTATTTGGATATTTAACTTGAGAAGAAATGAACTAAATCAAATTGCTCGAATCAGGTTAAATTCGATTTAGGAGTTTTGTTCAACCTTAAAATTGACATAACACATTTATCATTTAATTAATGTTACATTAAACACCAATTTAGAAAATTTTAATTTTACTAAAATCTCCATAACTTACATAGCAATTGATTGACTGATGTATCATCTTACCATTCTTGGGGAGTTGCCCCCAGGGCATATCTCCCAGTGACAAAGGGAAGGGCGGATAGGGCTCAGCGCGACAGTGTGCAGAGTTCGATTCCCCGCAAGGTGGAATTGTCTTTGTTGCAAGCGGGAGTTATCATATGGGTTAACAGCCTTGGCCTATCCATGTGCTCTCCACCCTGGCTCCTGGGAGGCACATCCTGGGATTTACCTCCTTCACGATTGTCCAATGCAGGGTCCGTAAGGACCCTTAAGATTGGGGTTCAACCTTTTATATTCGTCCAAAGTGAAGTCAAGCCATGTTTCTTATCTGTTAATCTCTTCATTTTCGCATCTACCTACAAAATATGGCCTATACTATCTCTGTGTTGGCAACATTACCGGTTATCATGGCTGTGCTTCTCTACCAACTCGATACCTTCGCTCCAGCTCAATATCCCGATCACGAGTTGACTCCAAAGCAGCCCCTATTTGTGCCTAAACGAAACACTCACATGCTTCATGGCTCGGAAAAAATCGGGGCTGGTGAGCTTCTGGGGCCAGAAGATGTGGCTTATGATCCCATCACCGGAATTATATACACCGGCACAACCGATGGGTGGATCAACCGAGTCACGGTTAACGAGTCGGCAGCTGAGTCTAAGGTGGAGAAATGGGTCAACACCGGCGGCCGACCACTTGGACTTGTTCATGGACATCATGGTGAAGTCATCATAGCAGATGCTGTTAAGGTCAGTGATAAACAAATTGATAATAAAATTTGATTAGTCAATTTGTCCATCCTTTGAGATCATCGCCCGATTCAGGTCAGTCCTCGCCGTTCGCTTTATACATCAAAATAATATTTAAATATTCTCATGCTCTCATTATTATTTATTTTCTGGTACATGGATTAAAAAATATTTTATGGTCCTTGCGCCTGCATGATTTCATTAAATTACATTTTATTTTTCTCTTTTCTAGTTTTAATTATTTTCTATTTTTAGCTACTCATTTTATTTTCAATCTTTCATAAAATAATATTACATATAAATCGAAAACTTTCCTTTTTTTTTAACCATTTATTTTTAAAAAAAATATATTATTACTCGCATTCTTATTTGAAAAAATGAGGGCAAAACGGGGCTCAAGGTTGATGTTGAATTTGCACGTGATAAGAGAGCTTCAATTTTTAAACTGGGCCTATTTGGCCTGTTTAACTAGCAGGGTCCATAAATTCCGTGGTCCTCTTCGAAATAAGGTTAATTAGTCAATCGCTCATCGAACTTTTCATTGAGTTAAATCTCATTGAATTAATTCGTTTATTAATTTCCCGGAAACTATTAAAAGTTTTGCCCATCCAGTATTAAAGTGGATTTTGTTTGGAAAAAATGGTTTTACACAATAAAAAGTTTAATGACCATTTAGAAACATCAAGACGTTGATCGAATTCTCGAAACCAAAAAAAAAGGTTGGGTCGAATGAATAAATGGATAGGGCCGATGGCTTCAATTAGTTATTGAAACGAAAAAGCAACAAGCTTCTCAAGCCAATATTCGAACACCAAGTGACATGGTAGTGAAGTAACCCTTGCCATACTTTCTGAAAAGGCTTGAACGATATTTAAGCAAAAGAGTACCTATACCAGAAATCGATACAGGCGAGTAGAGAATATTTAGGAGCGTGAGACAACTCGCTCTGAGGAACTCGGCAAAGTAGCCCCTTATCTTCGAGAAAAGGCTATTTATTCTTGTTGGACAAAGTTAACATCTTTGATATGTCACATAAGAATTATACAGGGGACATTTGTTTGTATTGCAGGGGTTACTAAATGTGACCAGAGATGGCACAATGGAGCTGTTGACTGATGAAGCTGATGGTCTAAAATTCAAGCTAACAGATGCTGTTGATATTACTCTTGATGGCATTCTTTACTTCACAGATGCTTCTTCTAAATACGCTCTCCACGAGTTTTTGTTTGATTTTTTAGAAGGTAGACCACATGGCAGATTTATGAGTTATGATCCGTCTACCAAACAAACAAAAGTTCTATTGCGTGATTTGTATTTTCCGAATGGTGTAGTGATTTCACCAGATCAGCATTTTGTTATATTTTGCGAGACTCCCGTGTAAGTTTTTCTTTACATGCTAATAATTGACATGTTTGGTATCATACTATAGCATCCTTAACAAGGTTGATGTTGTAATTGATTGAATTGCAGGAGAATGTGTAAAAAGTATTACATAAAAGGTGAGAAGAGAGGATCTGTGGATACATTCATTGAAAATTTACCTGGATTGCCTGACAACATTCGATACGATGGAGAAGGCCGATACTGGATTGCATTAACCACGGTATGACTTAAAACACAGTCTTCTTCCACTAAACTTCTTATATTGTCCGTTGAAGTCTACGAATAATGCTTGTAAGTTCGCCTTGTAATAGGGAAATATATACTTTTGGACTTTGACACAAAGGTATGCTTTCATTCGTAAGGCAATGGCAATAGTGGCTAAGTACATGGGTGAACCAACTCGATTCCAAAAGAATGGAGGGATTTTTGCCGTTGATTTGGATGGAAAGCCGATTGCACACTATTATGATCATGATCTATATCAAATCACTAGCGGGACCAAAATTGGAGAGCATTTGTATTGTGGTTCGATTCAATTTCCATACATCACGCGCCTTAATATTAGCCAGTATCCAGCAACATGATATGGAGGATGGTTGGATTTTTTACTCTCTTATTTGATTGATAGCAAGTTTCCAAAAATAAGGGCTCAAACAGGTGGTTTAATTTTCTATGCTTGGATAAATTGAACCTCATGCTACAATAATATAATGGTTGACATAATATCACAAGGCATCTTATCATTGTACTGTTTTACACACAATTAACTCCCCCATCCAATAATCTGTTGTTATTTGGGATCATATCACTGTATTTGTTAAACCTTCTTTTTTTTCTTTTTTTTTGGGGGTCAAAGTGGTAAAATCGTATGACTTCTATGTAGATGGGACTGGAGGGACCCACATATGGGATTTTTTGTTTCTTCGTTTCAGAAACCTGGTATGCATTGGTGCGCTGGTGGGGTGAGCCAATTCAAATACGGAATTTGTAAAGTGGGGAAATAAATATTACAAATTTGGGGTCCCTGGCCGGCGTTAATATGCATAAATTAGCCCCCGTTTGATCTCCATTAAATTCAATTACATTATATTTAATTTTTCTCTCTTCTATTTTCAATCATACAATCTTCAATAAAATAATATTACATGTAAATCGAAAATTTTTCCTTCTTTTTCAACCACTCATTTTTCTAAAATATACTATTCTCCCCATTTTCATTTTTAGGTAATGGGGGTCAAACGAGGGCTTAATATGCTCTGATCGAGACACTAGAAGAATAAAACAAGCTCTAATTTGCTGATTTGGAATCTATGTAGTTTAGTGAAATTTAGGCCCTCCAAAATTACTCAACATTCAGCAAGAGAAGGAATCCTCGAATAATTTTGCCTTCTGAAATCTGCATACCCTACCAGTCCCATAGAAATCATTCCCTACTTTCACAGCTGTGTCCACGTTAAGGTAATGAGACGAAGGCGGTACCCATCTCTCATGGTTGGAGGTTGAAATTTTGGTTCTATTCTTTTAACCTTTTTAAGTCCATGTTTGGTACTGATTTAAATTAGATTTTAATTCAAGATAAAGTTAAACAATCAATTTTAATCACATATTTTATGGGTCCCACAATTTTTCAACCAAATATTTTAAAAACTTTTATCAAAATTCACTTAAAATCTAATTTTAACCCTTATCAAACAGGACAAAGCAAATTTGTTAATATAAATTATGGGCCCGTTTGGTAGAGATTTTGAGAATTGATTTTTTGACCGTTAAAAGAAAAGTGGGATCCACATGTGAGATAAAAAGTCAAAAATTACGGCTTGAATAGTAAAATAACGGTCAAAAAATCAATTTTTTGGGGAAAAATCCCTACCAAACGGGGCCTATAAACAAACAGGTTGCTTTCTTCGTAGTTGAACTGGAACACACGTTTTCAAAGAAAATTAATATTATATACTCTTAGTTTGAACCTCATGTCAAAAAATACTAAGCACCTATCAACAAATTTTGCCCATCTTAATTAATACAATATGAATAAATTGTTTACTCGATCTTTGAACTCTAATGTTTTTGTTATTAATTGTTTTTATACCCAAAGAATTATTTTATGTTTGCAAATTTGTATATTTGATTTAAGAAACATGTTTTGCGTATAGAGCATTTTTCACAGAAGTCTTACCGACCCTTCCTGTAGGGGTCGGTCCCAGATGAAAAAAAAATACGCCGCGGCATGCGCATGTGTGCGTTCTGGTAAGGGTCTGTAAAAGCAGAGCTCTTGATTTAGCTTTGGTTTATCTTGATTGGACGTTAGCTTTTTTGCACCTATAACTGAATAGGATATGATAAAATCAATTTATTTTATTTTATTTTTTTGGAAAAGTATATCAGTGACAGTAAGAATTAATTAGTTTAATTAATATTAGATTATTTCTTCTATATCAGTTGTATAATAGATCAAGTAAATAACGCAAAATTCAGCAACTCCTTTCCTGATTAAAGTCTTCAGCCTTGTAACTAGTAAGCCTTGATAGGCGCAATCTACCGGTCCTTTTACATATAAAAGTCAACCCCACGGTTATTTTCTTTGACTTTTTCCTATTTAATCTCCCATAGTTTCAAAATCTCCCATATTTTCCCGTATCATGTTTGGAAAGATAAAATAGAGCGAAAGATGAAGAGGAAAACGTAAGAAATATGAAAATAATTGTTTAAGCCACATTCTTTTGATAAAAATGAATTTTTGAATAGTGTATCGATGAGAAATGTGTGATTAAAAAATAAGAAGAATTTTTGAATTTATGTGTAATTTTATTTTATTGAAGAATGTGTGTTGAAATGATGTCAAAACAATGTTTATATGAATTTTTTTAGCCCTTATTTGATCCCCAATTTGAGGGGAAAAATGAATTTTTGAATAGTGTATTGATGGGAAATAAAAAATAAGGAAAAATTTTGAATTTGCGTGTAATATTATTTTATTGAGAAATGTGTGATTGAAATTATATAAAAATACTGTAGAAAATTCATTTTTTTCTTAAGAAAGGGGACCAAACAAGCCCTTAAAGAATGAGACTCAAACAAGTCTCATTCTTCTAAAAATTTATTTTTCAAAATTTATTTTCAACCATATATTTTTCAATAAAATAATATTACACACAACCTCAAAATTTTTCCTTAATTTTTAATCATACATTCTTTACTGATTTACTATAAAATGCATTCCTCCCTTGCAAAATGGGCTCAAATAAGGGCTTAAACTTTTGCTCGACATTAAAAAGTCAAAAGCTGTAATATATAACATTATCCAGTCATTCAAAACCTACCCTGAAACTTATTTGATGTGTCAGAGCTTATTTTTTTGACAAATAATTGATTTTTGTATCATTGATGTGGGGCCCACTTTTGACAAACTTTACTCTCCCACAACAATTGACCATTCCAATGTAATTGCATATTGCCCATTGCCATTTTTGCTCTCGTTATTGGGCAAGTGTAAAATCAGTGGCTGGGTATCAC